ATTTAATTTGATTCTTTATTGTAATCGAATTAAGTTGTCTTTAACCACCTGAGGAGTCCCTTGAGCAAGGACGAAACCGGTCGTGGTATGCTCCTTAAATTATACAATATTGATTATATCTATTTGAAATTCTTCTATCAACACACCCACTGTTGGAGAATCTCTTAAAAAATTCGTTGGGTCTTTGTTCTCTATACTTTGTACCCAATAAAAAATATTTTATTGTAAATAATATTAGCTTGAGAGTTATTCTCATATAACTTTTAACTATATTAGTTGCAGTAGGAGAGTTATTACCTTCTTGAGTAACAACTTATAATCAATCACAAAGCAATTGATAAGTACTTTATTAGCACTTGTCGAAACCGGTCTTGCTAGCTACAATATTGATTATATCTATTTGAAATTCTTCTATCAACACACCCACACCCCATATCACAGGAAAGATGATAATTTTATTTGTTTCCTAACTGCTATCGAATTAAGTGGTCTTTAAGCTACCTGATGAGCACCTTGAGCAAGGACAAAATCCGAATCATGTCAGCTTCGATAATCTCAGGCCCATATCAGTATTCTCGACTTCTTCTAGTGCCAGTTCATTTCGCACTTGTAACACTGAAGATACATCTTGTTTTGGATTTTATTCAAAAATTCAAAATAGATAAGCCATCTGAATGACTCCCTTAGCCCGGACGAAACCGGTCATGGTAGCTCAGAGATAAAGTAAATAGCGACTTGTGACAAACAATGAGGAAAAAAAAATGCCAACACTTTTTTAGTTTAGTACCTGTGTCGAAATAAAAGGCATTCCTATTTCTTGTAAGTGCTAATTGTGATAAGTGTTTTTTCATTAATGTTTTCTTATATTAGGTAATCTCTCCTCATTGTTGCAATAGTTACTATTTAAAAGTTGTCTCTATGATTTCAATTTATATCGAACACCATTCAACCAAATCAACAAAATGTAAACTGGTAACTATGTTAGAAAAGATTACATATAAATCTGAAAAATTATGATCTATGTAACTAAAAATGATTATTTTTTTCAACGATAAAACCCTGATAATGTCTTTCATCAATCGACATGAAGTAACATTGTGCTTTAGTCAAGCAATACGTACCCTATCAAAATAATAACGACGACGACGACCACAAACAAAAAACGAAAAATAAAATGAAAAAATTGTTCTGCAAAACAACGCCAATGTATATAGGTGGAGGTTGCCCACGCGCAAGATGACGCAATCTATTATTATCACGCATAAATTTCATCATTTTCGGAAGTAGATTGAAGAAATTACATTTTTATTGAAATATTACTAATCAGTCAAAGCTGATTCGCTCGTCGTTCTTTTGCTCAGTTGATTTCATCAATGACATGTCATCGCACGCCATCTATTAGAAAACTCTATATAAGTGCATACCCTCATTCTCACTCTCAACCATTCCACTTTAAATTTGTTTATATTTTGAGCCTTATGTTCATCCTCAAAGATACCTGACGAGGACCCTTAAGAAAGGTCGAAATCCGGATAGTGTGATGCTTTGAATTTCAAGTCTTTGAGTTCTAATTTAAATGACAGAAACAACGTTGTCGTGGAACGGCGAACTATCTAATACACACCCGTGTTATTAGAAAATCATTGATAATATTACTTTAAAATTTTCATTCAAAATAGTCATTGACTTCTATAGTTGATTAAGACTATAGTACTAAGTTAATACTATTTGAAAATTTTACTTGTGCAAATGAATATCATAATTTAATTATTATATCGAAAAGTAATTCCTATGTACTTTATATTATACTGAATTACTATCTAGTAGATATAATATTAAGTATCCACCTGATGAAGTCCCGCCATGGACAGAAACAACGTTGTCGTGGAACGGCGAACTCTAATACACACCCACATCCACACCCTATTTTCTAGTTTCTCTCGAGCCTTTTTTTGGTAATTACTGTAAATTTATATTAAGCAGATTATCTACTAAAAATATTCATATATTTAATTACATTTCTATTTTATCGTTGTGTAATAATAACCTGTCATAGCAAAGACAGAGAGTCTAAAATCGCATCATAAATCTGTATTATATTATTGGAATATCAATATTCGTTCTGCCAATAAAATCTATCGATATGCAAAGGTGACACTGTCTACAATTAATTATCAATTTAAAAAGCTCAGAGCTCAAGGGTTTTCTAGAATATCGAGCAGCTAATGATCGAAAATATACGATTGGCGCCAAATGTAGCCGAATATTAGGTCAATTTATTGGACGAAATGATGAAGTGATATTGAAAGAACTGACTGAAAAATGACGTCAACAATGTGAATTAACTGTTTTCACTAGCACGATCTCATGCCATTTGAATTGTCTTGAAAATAAATATTGAAAAATTTGTAATCAATTTGTCTAACAGCACAAAAGCCAAATATCTCTTGATTATTGAACTAACAGCAGAACGAATTGAATATTGGCTTATATATTTTGAGACAATAAACTAATATATATTAAATAAAGAAATATTTTTTTAAAAGTAGTTGTAGTCGAAAATACCCAATTTTCTGGGCGTCCTGAATTTATGACTTAAGATAACGTTGGAGGAAGAGAAGGTTTGGCTTCAAATTGACCAAAAAACTGATCATATGATTTCCGTATAACACATAGTACGTCGTCGAGGGCATGACTTTTATCATTAATCGTTGTTTGACCCGTGTTGTTGTCGTCTCGGGTATGACCTCTCCCGCCGTCTATTGTAATATACAGTGGTCTGTCGTACCTTGGGTATATAATATAAAAATCGTTAAATAATAAAAATTCAAAATTTAAATATCTTTCGGTCAAAGGTCACAGTCAATATTGTATTCGAATGAAAACTGTTATAAATAATAATTTTTCCATGTAAAATAATTTTCAAGGTCAAAGGTTATACTCTGTCTACGAGTAAAATATTTATATATTGAAATGTCGAAAAATCAAAAAAAAAACAAATCCTCGAAACCTCTGTAGTTAAAAATTAATTAAAAAATAAGACAAAGAGTACAAAACATTTTGAATTGAAAAAATATCTTCAAAGTCAGAGTTAAAAGCATATCTAATCGATAAATATGTAACGTTAATTTACGACAAGTTAAAAATAACCTTTTTACAGTCAAACAGCATAATTGAGAAATCATATTATTATACTAATGTGATAGTGCTCAAATATTTGAAAGTCATTTAAAAATTGATAAACAATAAGAACAAAAAAAAAAGAGTTAAAAAATCAAGACCATACATGAAATTGTTTAGCTGTTCATTGTAATGTGATGGTTAACATTTCATAGATTGAAAGGAAAAGCAATTCTGAAAAGTTGAGTCTGAAAAATTAAAAATCAATATTGAGATTTGAAATTATAGTGGAATAATAGAAACACAATCTGGAATAATAAAGACAAATTGTTTTAGTTATGCATTTGAAAAAAAAAAACGATTTGAATTTTTCTAAACAACTTGAGAAAAATTTCTTGATGAGAACCCTGAATAATTTGTAACAAATTTTCTGTAATATTAAAATAAAATTTTCTGGATTTATTTTGAAAAAGTTTGAAGAAATTTCTGAAAAATGTTTGAAAAAAATTTTGAAAACTTTCTGCAACAATTATGAAAACAATATTGAAACATTTTTGAGAAAAAAATTTGTAGTAGTTTCGATAACTTATTAACAGCAATTTTGTCACTATCAATCATGATTATGCCGTGGTCTGTCGTAATACGCCACTATCCAGGGTATGATTTTTACTGTTGTCCACTGCACGACCTCCGTTGTCGCCTAGGGTATGACCTCTCCAGACATCTATTTTTATATGACGTGGTCTATTCTAGTATCACGTGGTCTGTCGTACTATGC